AAATTCTCCAAGACTGTGATAGGCGTTGCCAAGATGAAAGTACGCTCTTGCTTCTCCTGCTCTGTCTCCCACTTCTTCCGAAATTTTGAGGTAACGTTCATGGTACTCTATGGCTTTCTCAAATTCTCCACGACTGTAATAGGCGATACCAAGTTTACTGTACGCTATTCCTTGTCCTGCTTTATCTCCCACTTCTTTCGAAATTTTGAGGTGTTCTTCATGGTACTCTTTCTGCTCGCTTTGGTATTCCACCTCTCCTGAGAAAAGGTATAAACATGTTGTGGTTTCATTTTATCATTTAGGTTCATCTTTGTGCCATACAATTAGTTGGGTCAGTAGTAATTGTACATTAGGGGAGTGCGTTTGTGAGAGAGGTGATAAGGCCAGGAACGGGGAGGGTGCCGAAGGACAGGCAAGTATGAACAAGTGACCTTAAGATCGAGGTTTAGTCATTTTACTGCAAACGACAAACTGTGGTTTGCGCTTAACGGTTTCACGTTACTCGTTTGCCCATATTTGGGACTTGAGATTCGCGGGTGGAAGCTCGCGGCTGCAATGTTTGTTTTCAATCGTCCACTTATATTTCAGGAGAGAAGTTGTCTTCAAAATTACCGTCCTTTTTTAAAAAATAGAATTCGATAATCAATAAGCGAGAGCTCTAAAAATCGTTATTTTTTTCTCAATCGGGGTAATGTGATGTTTTATGGTGCAAAAAACCTTGCGGTAAATCCCTTACCTCTGGAGCGAGGTCTAGCCGTACAAACGTAAACTTCAAACCGCAATTTTGACGACAAGGGACTGGTTACGTGATTTCTTGACGTTTGCAAAACGTGGGAAATTCCGAAAAACCTCAATCTCAAGGTCTCTATGGTTGGAGCGTATACTTAGGCTTCGTTGCGTTAGAGGTGTGTTGTTAAGAATACCGAATGGCTACGAATAAATAAGTATCGGGAGCGTTTTTGACTTTGTTGCTTTTGGGCTTTCTACTACTTCTTAATTGTACTCGTGGATAGGATTGTGGACATCAAACCTGTTGAGATTTTGTGATTTATTTGATGCGCACTGGATTTCTTTCCCTACATCAAAAGTGGCGACCCTGCCAGGACTGCTTGTTAAGCGAACTTTGTGGGGCACAAACACCGAATGCCTGAAGACTCAAGAAAATACTACTGACTGGGAAACATGGTGAAGCTTGCTGAAGAAAACTACACAAAGGAATTAAAAAGGCCAACGTACTACGTTGGAGAAACCGCGGAAAAACTAAACGCTGAAGGAACGGAGGATTTGCGTTTAGCGTACGAGAGAATATGTGACATAAACAAGGCACTCGAGTATTCAGCGAACCGAGTGAAAGACGCCGTGTTGGATGCGGACAAGAGTTTTGACTAGGTAAGATAGTGGTCAGACACGCGTAAACAAGATTTTTGTTCCTGTGCGAAACCTAAGAGATAAACTGAAGGAAGCTTTAAGCGAATTTAAAAAAAAAAAAAAAGAAATATAGTCCGGGAGCTATAGACGTTTTGTTTAACCCAGGAGGCAGAAAAGGTTTGACAATGAATTTAGATAGATTAAAGCACCTTCTTTTTCTTCAAATAGTTTTACGATGAGATCCTCATCATTAAAGGCAATGAAAGTACTGTAGTTACTGAATCTATTTGCCGAATATTTCGGTTCGAAACAAGGCTTTCTGCACATCCTCCTCCTTCATTTGCGCTATATCGCTTCCGTATACCCTCTTTCCCCTTCACTTTTGAGCCAGGAGCCCATGCTCAAGCTCTATCAATAAGAGGACAGCATGCACCAAATCAAATAGAAAGATCGTTTGTCAATAAATTAGAATTTTTGTATCTTACCTGCAACAAGCTCTGTGTCAGAACTTTCTTGAACTTCGGGAATTGCCTTTTCTTCCCCTTCACCTAACAAAGATGAAAAAACGCAATTTCTACCTTTACTTAAACTTGGACTCAAGTTTGCTCTTCAATATAATTAGTGACAGATAACAAACAGGACATTTGTCCGTAATGCCATTATAGTGCAGTGTTAACACTACCCATGACCCTGAGCGAGTAAATTCCATGTGCTCCTGTCACAACGTTTTTACGGACCAGTTTATTTTTAGAACGGTTTTTCGCGCGAATTTCGAGAGGGCTGTTAATAGTGCAACAAACTCCTTGCCCCCTCCTCCCTCTCCAAAAAGGGAAGTGTTTATTGTAGGGGGGATTTTTGTATAATTTGGGTAACTTCTTTGTCTCACAAAAAGAGAATAGATGAAACCAATTCATTGTGTCATAAAGTCCTCATTTCCGTTGCCTGCGTAGCAAGCGTTTACGTTTGGTTTCGGAGCAAAGAAAGACCAAGGAACGTGATTCTCGGTTTTGGCCGCGCGAGAAAGGAAACAAGAGCCAAAAAATGAAAGTGGGGGGAGGGGAGGGGAAGGAAGGAAACGCTTGCAGACAAACCCCTTGATTTTCAAAACCTGCGTTCGCCAGCGAACGCAGCGCCTGATTGGCTCGGCTAGTCGAACAATGTTAACATGCCGTGTCGATCAAAGGTTTGTGTCATACTGAGAAGACGGTATGGTACGTGACACGTATATTAATTTTCAGTGGTTGTTGTTTATTCTGCTCGACAAGATTTGCCCTCCAATGCAAGAACATTTTCTTTGACCTCTTTTGAAACGTAAGGTTCTTCTTGCGACTAAATAAGGGTTTCAGGTCGTTAAATTTACTCTGCAAAGTGCCTCCTGGATCTGAATAACTAAAAGCGATTTTCTTTTGTTCGGGAATGCGATGGTTTCCTGCAAGGTGTCATGCTGGGCTCAGTGATTTACAGACTGTTCTGTTAGACGGAATAAAAGACAAATGTCCAAAGCCTGTATTGATCGTTCGGATTCATTGATATTTCAACATAAACGCCGTCCACAAGTTACAAAATACAAATAAATATATTTTGGGTTCACATACTCGTCCTCTAAAGTTCATTTCTGCTCCACTGAAAGCCAAACATTTTATTGGTCAATTAAGACAGCTGATGACAGCATCAAATGTCGGTGCGCGAACTCAGGCATGGCAGGCCAAGTGGGCGGTTTTCAAAATCCCCGGGGTTTGTCTGCAAGCGTTTTCTTCCTTTCTTCCCTACTCCTTCCCCGCTCTTTCACTTACGCCATTTTTCGCGCGGTCTTTGACTCTCGTTTCTTGTTCTTTGCTCCTAAACCGCACGGAAACGCTTGCTACGCAGACTATAATTTCTCTCTAGATTACGTCTTTGTGTGAAAGGCTCATGGCGAAGTTCCACGCGCGCCCGAGGAGAGGCCCATTGCAAAGAAAATTTGGTAATCTATCTATCCGAGAAAATTAGTTTAGGACGTCACTGTACGCCCGCCCGCACGTACGTCCAGTACGATCCATGTAAACCAATGTCAAGTGTCACATTAGATCTTGCGCAAATTGACACTAGCCTGTTAGTTATATAAGCAATTCAGTTCAATACTTACTCGATTTTGCGCCTACGTTAGGCAACTTAAAATGTTTCAATGGCCACGAAAATCGGGCATTTTATAGTACACTGATCAACTGCATCACTGAAGTTTGTTAAAGAAAATCTATCGTCAAAGTTTTGGTTTAATCGCTGTTTTCGTGAAAGTGGCCGTGGAAATTACAAAAAGAGCTCAGCATTGCGTTTTACCCCGATTCACATGTTTTCATGTCTTTTCGAAAACGCACAAGTCAACTGCCGTTTAGCCAAGAGAGGATAAACTTTTATCCTCTCTTGGTTTAGCTGATTGTAGAATGTATAAAGGTGATTTGCAAAA